GAAAAATAAAAATTCATCTCTTCTCGAGCTTAATCGTTTTATTAGAGGAATTCTGAACTACTTCATGCTTTTCTCGGAATCAAATCTTAGAACAGGAGTAATTTATCTCACGAAGGTTGTTTGAGGTACTTGCTGCTTATTCTTTAATGTTCAAATATTTTTTAAAAATAAATTTTGCATTATTCCTCCTTTTAGTTCAACAAGGCAACTTAAATGCGTGTGGTTTAAGCTCCTTAATTAAATTTCTTTCCCTTTTCCAGTAAGGCAACACAGAAGTTTAAATCTTCTAAATGGAGCTTCACAAAGAAACTTACTTTCCTAGTTCTTCAAGATAATGCAATAGCTTGTTTTTACACTGATTTGAAGAAAAAAAATTCCAAAGTTTGCTTCATTTCCGTAGACTTAATGCTCTGTAGTCTCTGATCTTTCCTTCATATATATTTGAATGGGAATAGAAGTATTTTATCTATTCCAAGGATTGTGTCTGACTGCGCTTTTTAGTTTATCTGAAAAGCTACTTCTTTCTTCATTTCTTTTAACATGCTAAAAACATGAGAGATGATCTTTAAAGCACATTAGTTGGTTTATTTAATTTTGGTAAAGCTCGCAAGGGTTGTCTGTGTTTGCAGAGATGCTTTCTTGGGGATTCTCTAAGGGAAAATGCTCGCATTCCCGTTAGATATGGGAGAAACCGCGAAAACGTTCATATAGTCAGCCCGTTCGCCTAGAATCGAACACTGGACGAACCACCAGTATTGAGCGACTTTACCGCTCTGCCGCTGGTGCGCTTGATCTTTAAAGTGTAAGTCTTTGTTTACGTATTATATCTCATGCATATTACTGCTTTCAAACTGACCTGATAGCACACAAAAGAAACATTTTATCCTCGAAAGATAAAATAGAGATTTTTGAGACAAGTGAATCATAACTGCATAAGCCTGCGCCTTTGAAAGTATATGCTCTAACAAATATGCTTATAATCATAATCTGCTCGTACGAGGATATTAAATATACAAAGTCAAATTAAATAAAATTGTAATAGCTATGATATGCAAAAATTTAAAGCGAAATTTGTAGTTCTTTTGCTGACTTATTGTAATCAAGGGTATCTTTGGAATGCTTTCTGATCAATCGGTCTATTCAATTAGCTTTTCAATTATTTAATTATCTAAATGTGTATCTGCAAGTTTGTTTTGATATTTTTATTTCAAATACGAGTATATCATAATTGAAGGAGCTGTTATTAGAATAGCGAAAATAAGGAATAACTAAAATTGATCAGTAAAAAATATTGTTACGAATTTTGCATTTAGTTACATATTTTGTTTAGTAGAATTATAATAAAATTGTTTTATTTCCCCGTGCAATGCAGTGCATGACAAATTTTAAGAGTAAACTACGCCGGAAAATTAAAAATACAAGAGCACGTGCATTTAACATTGAATAAAAGTTTATCTCGGTAAGTTACATTTAATTTGAACAAATGTGATTGACTACTATGTTATCTGTAACCGTAATTCTACTCTTTTTGCTTTCCAGAAGTTGCTAGAACTATCTCGCGCGGCCTCTTTAAAAAGCTATAAAACACCAGAGAGAGACCATCTCAGCTCGGTTGTTTATTGTAGCAAATTCGCGGTGAGATCCGATTAGCTTTCTCTGCGCTTTGGATTGCGTTCTATTTAATGTTTTTAGTAGTTCAAAATATAGCTACAGAGTATATTGCGTGAAATATCACGAATATCTTTGAGGGAAAATCCAGCATTTTGTTATATTTCTTGTGATAAGAATAAATTTTATTAAATTTTTATCGAACTTGTACATTCAATCTATTACGAATTCATACGCACGCAACAAAATGATGACATACTAACGGTAGTACATAATGAAACATTTGAAACATCGTGTAAAAATGAGGAATAGGAATACGTCAACTGAAGATTGGCATGTAAAATACTTGCGTGCCTTACGTTCTTGATTTTTGCTTTATAGCATTATAAAACCAAGGGACCTGGCCATTTACCTACTTAGATTAGTTTCATAGCAGTACATTGTTATTGTAACAAAGTTAGTGATTTAAAAAGAAGCTACTTAAGAACTACAACAAGCCACAACAAGGAAGTCATGTGGTGTCCATATCAGATTTGTTCTTAATCAGAATAAGATAATCACTCATTCACAATACTAAGAAATTTAAACAGAACCGAAGAGGAACAATATCTTATAACATAGAAATTATAATTAATAGTATTAATGGTATAATGTTTATAACTGAAGTTTGTTACATTCGTATATTTAAGAAATGCATTTCTAACATCATATATTTGTGAACTTGGTCTTCGAAATATTACTGCATCAATCATGAATTTGCTATGCTATATGAAAACGTGCAGAAATGACAAGTCTGAGATATTTTGTGGCAAATTCAACAAATCAAAATATTTGTGAATTGTACTGTTTAGTTTTTTATCCACAGGAAAAATGTGTAAGATATTTTCTTTCGGTTATTTAGAAATTTCATTTCATTAAGATAAATATTTAAATTTTATAAATTATATACTAAAATGCTCCATTCAGTACAGTAAAACATTGACGTAAAAAATTATTTATTTATTTGTCTTATAAAATTAAGCGCTCAAAATGTTTAAAAGGGATTACAGATTAATAATATTTATTAAATCTATATAAAATGATATACTATAAAAATTTTAATTTTGTAGGATATATTTTTATAACGAACGAACAAAGCCGTTTTTCCTTCCTTGTACGAAGTAAAAGACTTGTTGTAAAGTAAAGGAAGTATTGCAATCGCGAAAAATTTCGGGTATCATATTACTAAAGGAAATATCAATTTTCATCGTTCCCAAAGTCATCTGGACTTTTTTTTTTTTTTTTTTTTTTTTTTTTATGGCCTCTGTTCGTATGCATAAAACGGAGGGCTCTTTTTTACTAAAACGGATTGTGAAATAGAATTAAAACGAATTTTTTTCATGATGTCTGTTCGCACATACGTAGGTATGTATGTTTCTCACAAAACTCAAAAACGATTAGATGTAGAACGGTGAAATTTTGTATGTAAGATTGCTATAACTTCTAGTTGTGCACCTCCCTTTATTACTGCAAGGCATACCAGTATATGCATATATATATGTGTGTGTATCAAATAACTGATGAAAATATTCATGTTTTGGCAATGTCAAATTAACAAAAAAATTAATTTTCGATAAATGACTGAATCTAACTTTTAATGCGGCTTCCCAGTTCCAGTACTTATATTTGGTAAAGCTTTAAACTCGTTATGAAAATTAAAAGTACAAGAAGTTAGACTCTTGTACTTTTTTTTTTCTTGTTAGTAACCGCGATATTTAATTTGAAGATTTTTAGTTTTTAATGTCGTTTTCAATTTGTCTTGACGCTTAGTTAATACAGAATAATTCGAGGAAATAAATGAAGTGCAGCTAAAAACTGTTACAGTTTAAAGGCCACAACAAGGAAGTCATATGGTGTCCATATCAGATTTGTTCTTAATCAGAATAAGATAATCACTCATTCACAATACTAAGAAATTTAAACAGAACCGAAGAGGAACAATATCTTATAACATAGAAATTATAATAAACATGACGGAGGAATTATAATAAAATTGCACGCGCTTCTTTAATGACAAAAATTATCGTTCTTATGCACTTCCGTAAGTAAAATTTCCGTTAAAGAAATCTAATATAGACAAAAAAATATGTTTCATATTATATAATTATTTCATATTAATTTAAATTCCTTATGTAATTATTTTGAACAGAATTAAATTGCGCTATAAAATACTCACTTTTACTGCAGAATCGTAACTTAAATGACTATTATTAAGAGTAGTTTCTTAACCAAACAAAAATTTACAATTACTATGCCGCCGCCCAGATGGTGTAGTTGTTAGGGGAGCTTACCGCGGTGCAAAAGGGCCAGGGTTTGAATTCTGCAGAAGGCATGAATATTTGTAAATGTATAGTATCTTTACGGAATGGAGGCATTCTAAATACATGGCGAACCGGAAGTCCTCTCGTGTGGTTTGGTGGCAGGGGAAAGAGGTGGGAGACCCTCAGACCCCCCTTGGCGTGTTTTTCCTAAAAATTGGCGAGGAAGTAGAAGTCCAACGTCTTTGAGGCTCTGGCAGCCCTTCTTCCACGAAATACATGGGCAAGATAACAGCAACAAATTGATATTTAAATAGTTATTTTACGAGATGTATAACATTTTAGGGTTAGTGCAATAAATAAATAGATGAATAAAATTTAAAGGATGTTATACAGTCATTAGTACTTTTTTTATGCAGGAGACGTGAAAAATGAGCAAAGCTCTCACCGTGACATGAACTTGGACTTCTCAAATACTAGTAGGCTACCCATTACACCACGAAGGCATGCAGAAAGGAGGGAGAAAGGGCGACTGGGAATCGCCAAATCCTGGTGGTGAAGAACCATCATCCACCACCTTTTATTTTGAGGGCCACTGTAGATCCAATAGGTTATTTTGATGCTGCAGACACGAAAATGAACAGTGACCTAGCCAGACTCGAACCATGGATCTCTTGAATACGCGCCGAGTGTGCTACCATCACATCAGGAAGGCATGCAGAAAGGAGGGAGAAAGCACCTTATGTATTCCCACTTTTAAAGGGCGACTGGGGATTAGGGGACCAAATCGCCAAATCCTGGTGAAGACTCATCCTCCACCACCTTTTAGTTCGCGCGCCACTGTGGAATCATTAGGATTTTTCTTTTGTTTTAATGCGGGAGACGGGAAAAATGAGCAGTGCCTCGCCGGGACTCGAACCTGGACTTTTCGAATACGCGTCGAGTGTGCTAACCATTACACCACAAAGGCATGCAGAAAGGAGGGAGAAAATACCTTATAAGTAAAAAAGGAAATTAACAGTAAAATACATAAAAATGTTGTATCACTTTGGAGAATTTGTGGTTTGAGAGATTCACACAGCATCAAATTCTAAGTAGAAGAACAATAAAATTTTATTTAATTGAGATTGACATCCAGTAAGTTTCAGATACGGTAAACTTACTAATTATATACAAATTGCTCTATAAATCAAAGACTAATGCTGAGTAAAAACAACAACTTACACTTTTTAAAAAAGTAAAAAAAGTAAAATTTTTTATTGAATAATTTAAGTAAAACTATAAATAATACTTTATTGTGTAAATTACATATAACCATTTACTTTGTTTATCGCTTAAAGTTTTCTATTTTGAAACTTATTTCGTATTAGCTTTTCTAATCCAATAACTGGAGATTCAAATATCAAAGAAACGGGTAAGGACAGTCCGTAAGTTACGACTAGAAATCCCAGGAAATATAATACCTGAAAAAAAAATTCTATTTCAGTATTATTTCTTAAATAGGTTAAGAAAATCGAACTACAGGTAAAAAGATATAATAAAAAAAAGCAAAATTACATTGTATTCACAAGACTAATTATATTCTTATATATGTGTTATATCTTATTATTTTTAAAAGTGAAATGATTGGCCCATAAAATATTTTCCCCGCTGAATTTCTTCATTAATTTTTTTAATGCCTGTTTGCAATTAAGATGAAAGTATGAGATCCAAGAGTTTAGCTCTAATGTAAAATACAAATTAAAAAAGCTGAGGTTAATTTATGAGTTTCATTTAACTTGTAGCTACTTAGTTATTCTGCAAATATTAAAATAACAATGCTCGAAAAAGAAAAAAGAGTAGACCGCATTTATTTTCAAAGTCATGTCAGAGTAATAAGGCAACATCTGTATTCAAAAGGACCTTACTCGCGATAGCTTCGACCATATATATATATAAAACAGATCTCGGAAAATATATGTAAAAAGTGAAAAACATGATAAACATGGGCAGATAATGTCTGATGGACAGTTATAAAGATGTGTTCGAGGCTCAAGAACTACAGTCTTCAGATAAAAATGTCAAGTATATCAAAGAAATACTCTACAGCAACTGACCTGACGAATGCGTGACTGGAACGAAAGAAGTATAAACCTTAGGAATAGATGCATGATGGAAACACTAGTGATAAATAAATCTTATGTAAAAGACACCCTTTATTTTTAATACTATAACTGAAATACCATGACATATTTGCTATACCTGCCCATTCTAAGGTAGTCTCCTTCGCTGATGATGCTACCTTCATAATCCGAGGGAGAATAAGAGATCGATACAGCGAAACAGCAACGAAACAACTGTCCTCTTTAACAAACTCTGCGAATAGAAGAAATTAACTATCTTAGAACAGAAATTCAAGTATACCCTCTTCCATACATCCGAACAAACGCTCTTACGCAAACCAGTGCTCCAAATAAGGGGCAAAACCATCAAGAGAGCCAAAGAACTGAAACTGCTGGGTCCGAACATAGATGAAAAGCTCTGATGGATACCGCATCTTAGGGCAATGCGCCTAAAAACCCAATAATATCTCTGGCAATCACCAAAGGCAATGGAGCAACAGCCACGGTGGCTACTCATTTAGTGGGACTTATCCCATTGCACAACAAGACCGAGCAGGAAGCTACAATTACTACAGTCCCTTCAGTTACGGGAAAGTACCGTCTACAAGTCACAATATCATACACCAGACGCCTATGATAAAGAACGTCTCTTCCATGCTACCCACTCGTAGGACTACGGGAAAGTTATTATAACACACATGTCAGCGCTGCCTGCATCTAGCACAACAGATAGCCAAGTCATCTACACAGACAGCTCAAAGACAGATGGTAAGACTGGCTGTGGCCTAGCCATCATGCACTATTCACAAGTCCTGCACACATGGAAGGGATACCTTGAAATTGACAATTCTGTCTTTTAGGCGAGGCACCTGCAATATTCCAGGCCAGAGGAATAACAAGCTGACTACGAGGCTCTCATGTCAACATCTTCACAGACAGCCTCTTGACCACTAACGCCATTTGTAATACAAGACACTCTTCCCCACTCATCACAGAAATTCAGCAACAGCTGAATCAGATGGCCAAATCCAAGCAGATCCGCATTTCCTGGATTGAGGCGCACGTCGGGATACAGGAAAATGAGAAAGCAGAGAGACTTCCCAAAGAGGCGGCTGATAATATGGAAGCAGGAGGCACTGACACTCAAACTTCCATGGTCACACATAAAATCAGTAATATGGGCAGCAGTACAACAACGGCAGGAACTTTTTAAAACATGACTATTTTTAAATCACTATCAAAGTTTTCTCGAGCTCTTTGTGTACATTCATATAGTCTAATATTGTATAAATTTTGAAATACAAACCAAAATTGGATGACTGACTTCCAGAAGACTTTTGACTGAGCTAAAATATCCTGTGATAATCATGGGATGGATAAGGTAAGCACAGTAAGTTAGTCTACTCAATGGTATGAAAAGTTTGTATGACAGAATGCTATCCACAATGCCTGAAAAGATGCATAAAAATGTTAGTTTAACACATAAATACTTTATTTTTTAAAAAGAAACTATTTCATAATAGATATAATTCTAAAACAATTCAACCTCGCTATTATGAACTTTAAAGGACTAAAAGTATATTCTATACAATAAAAAAAAGATTATCTCAGAAAAGAGTGTAAAAAATTGATTGATGAATCTCACAGGTGCAAAAATGCTTTCATTTGTGCTTAATAAAAAATAAAATATCAATTTAGAAAAAGTTTTTTATGTTAAAAGATTACCTTGTGAGCATTTCAATGCAAATTATTGTGATCAGTATAGATCAACAAAATCTTTTTCATAATGGAGATCTCATTCAGGGTATCATAGAATTTGAATTCTGCAAAATATTGGCAGGTTTCATTTTGTTTCATTTGTCGCGGGTAGTCATTTTATAATATTACTTGCATTTATTAAAATGCAAATATTTGCAGTTTAACGAATTTTTATATGATTAATAAATTATAAAGGAATAAAACTTCATGAAAATATTAATAACTTATTTTTTAGACTTTGACATTTTTATAAATTGCTTCTGTGAAAACTCTTTTGGTATGCAAAATGCAACAAAATTACAAATTAAAAACTTCAGCAAATCACAGAGGAACATCATTGAATGTCTTATTTATTAATGAATGGATCTTTCAATAATAATTGGAAATAACATCAAAGTGGCAAATTTTGAAATTAAATATTTCGGTCAGCTTTTGTCATACGGAATTACAACCTATTGTATTTTATTCTTTATAACAAGCATTAGATTTCTTTAAACCAGGATTAACAAGGATTGGAGAAACGTATAAAAAGTTAGATTTCGCATTTTGCATAAAATTATTTTTTTAAATTTAAAATGTGGAATTACGAATCCTTGCTTCATTTAAAACATTTTTTGTAGCTGGAAGTATATGTCTACGGACAATAGTTGCTAACATAAAGGTCGGTTAAAAAGAGCACGGTGTATTAAACATATATTCATTTCACACATAATGAAAATTATTAAATACCAACCTGCTTGCTTTGTAAGACAAACATAAATAACCCAGCCAAGTCCAGCACCGAAACACGTGCGGTTTAAAGCATTGTAGAAACTACAGGCTAATACAGAAGGGTCTTTGTGATATAAACCATAAACACAGGTTAGTGTAACAGACGAGGCAATGATCCATCCACAGCCTAACGTTATCTGAAACAGATAGGGGAAAAAACTTAATCTTACATTCGAAACGTTTTATCATAAAATATTTTCAAGACACTATTTTATCTTTAGTACAGTTTAATAGATAGTAAACAATACATTTAAATAGACAGTAAAGAGTACATGTAAATAGACAGTAATGCAATTAACCCAGAACAAGGTTGTTAAGAAAACCATTTTGAATACATAAAATAAATCAAAGTTTAATAATGCGCGGTCCATAATTTATAATAATAATTTATATAGAGATGCATTCACATATTTAAATGCACTTCTCGTGTATTCAGAGAGTGCAGCCCATAATTTATAATAGTATACATAATTTACATTTAGATGCATTCACATATTTAGATCTTCCAGTATATTCCGGGAGTGCAGCCCATAATTTATAATGATACATAATTTATATTTATATGCATTCACATATCTGGATGTACTGCCGTATATTAAGAGAAATCAATAAAATACTACGATACTATTTAAAATATTTCTGTTTTTTGCTTTAATTAAAATTCGAAATAGCGTCATCAGATTAAAAACAAGTTTTATCTGATGAATTCTCCAAATTCGGGGCTCCACGAGCGGTCGAGCGGTAAAGTCGCTGAATACTGGTAGTTCGGTCCGAGGTTTGAATCCCGAAAACAGGCTGGCTATATGGGCGTTTTCGTGGTTTTCCCCATGTGTAACGTGTATACGAGCCAGTTTCCCTTAGAAAGTCCTCCACGAAGGCATCCCACCCCTTAGGCAGATAGCCTTAGTGTGCTTTGCCGTAATCTCCATAAACCAAACCAAACCAAACAATCTCCAAATTCGGGAGCTATAAAGTAGTTTATTTGTTTAGTATTCGTCGATACGTCAATGAAGCGCATGCCATTCAGTTTATTTTGGGCTTTTAGCGCTCTTTAGCAAATAAAGCCTCATATTCTATTTATTTGGAAAATCACAACATATGCTGAGAGCTGAGCAACATACGTCAATTTATTATTTACATTAGCAAACAAACTTTCCCTCCTTCCCATCAGAGCAAATTCTTAAAGAAAGAGGAAATTAATCAGATTGCATGTTTTAATTACATACTTCACCAGAAACGTTTATAAATGTAGGAAGAATAACGGAACAGAAAATAAGAACTGAAATATGAGAGAAAAGAACAGAACAAGACAATAAAAAGTAACATAAGAACATTAAAAACTGACATAAGAATAACAAAACATAAGAACATTAAGAACTGATATAAGAATAACATAACATAAGAACATTAAGAACTGACATAAGAATAACATAAGAAAATAAGAAGCATTAACATACAAATTTAATACTAATATTTGAGACATTCTAAATCCAACGTGTTGTTGTTGTGACTTATTTCACTTGCATAGCAGTAATATCAAAACAATCCATGAATTTTATCGTGGCGAGGATCTCAGAACTGCGTCTGTCATTGGTACTCGCTTTGGACACCTTATAATAGCAATAAGAAAACCGTAACCGTGAGAAGTCTATTGTTTTAAATCTTTGCAATTTCGAACGCATAGCTTCGAATAAAAATATCTAAAATTTCATTTCCACTGATTAAGCGGATAGGCTCTCTAGGAGCTCATATACATCTGGGAAGGTTTTCGACGAGCAGCTGTATATGGTTTTTCAGAAGGAAGAAAAGAGCCCAAGGAGACGAATGATACGTTTAATTATTTCAACTATCTTCTGGTCAAAGGCAAATAAGCCCAGTTCATTGTTAATTTTTTTTAATGTATACTGAATTTAGCCAAAACTGCTGCATTAATAAACTTGCATTTCATTTTTTTAAAACAATATACTTGGGTATATTATATTGGTGGCTTTGAATGATATTTCATCATAGATAATAGATTTTCTGTATCGTTAATTAGTAAATATAAGGTAATAGTAAAGACCATTCATCTATTGCATACATTTTAATGGAATTCGTATTAAAATAGCATTTCTATTTAGATTTGTGCTTCCATAATCGTGTACCTTAAACAGATATAGAAGAAAATAATAATATTGCTTGCCATGTTGGTCAAGAAAGAAGTTAGAACGGTTTATTCTTAGTATACTTACCCAGCTATCTTTACCTCTGTTGCTTTGTTTTGTTTTTAATAGGAAATATCCCACAAACATTCCAACTAAATATGGACCAATCCTAGTGTATGGTTTGATGTAAATTTTATTAAAGAAGTCAATGAATCTGAAAATATAAAAATATATAATTTTAAGGGAAAGCTTTACATGAAATGACAGATTAAAATAATTCTCATTTTACTAGCTTTAAAAAGGGCATTAGAAAATAAGTTAACTTCTGCTATTAAAAGATAGGAAAATTTTGGTTTAGTAAATATAAAAATTAGAAAATCAGAATGCAGCAATAAGCAAAGAAATTAAGCACTGCTGTTAAGCCACCGAAATACAAGTAATAAAAAATGTCTTTGTATCTGTTATAATTCTATAAATAAGAACTTAAAAATTAAGATGTTGACCATGGAATTTTATTTTAGCATCAATTATACTTTCAAGAAACTTTTGAGACCACCTAACGCAACTGCATGCTTTTTATTATTCACTATTGCTTATTTCTTTCTATTCTTACTCATTTTATTTTTTCTTTTATTACTCAATACTTTCTTATTCAACACTTGTTATTCTAAGTTTCTGCCATTTCTTTATATATATATATATATATATATATATATTCGAAAACAATTACTATTTAAGCATATTAAAAGCCGGAAACCTAATAAGGCGGTTTTCTACTGCAACTTATTCAAAATCTACCTCGATCTTATCTAAAATATTGTTTACTGATGTCTCTATTTTTCTGTAAAAGAAAATAAGCGCAATAAACTCGAAAGGTTGTAGAGTCATTAGGTATTTTGGAAACCCCGGAAATATGAGAATGAGCAACCGTCTTCGCCGGGAATCGAACCATGGACCTCTGGAATACCGGCTCAGCCTGCAGAATCACTACACCACGACGGAACGCTAGGGAGGCGGGAGAAATACCTTATAAACACTCCCTTTTAAAGGGCGACTGGGGTTTTAGGGGACCCAATCGCCAAATTCTGGTTGTGGAGAGTCATCATCCACAACCCTTTTAGTTCGGGCACCACTGTAGAGACATAAGGTATTTTTTTGGGAAGCAGGAAAGATGAAAAATTAGCAACGCCTCCGCCGGGAATCGAACCACGGACCTCTGGAACACCGGCCCAGCTTGCAGAACCACTACATCACGAAGGCACGCTAGGAAGGCGCAAGAAATGCCTTATAAGATAAGTATTATAGTTATTTCAGAACCTGTAAAACTAAGGCGTATATAGTACATATAGCATACTGCTTTTCAAACTGTAACAAAGTAGATAAAGATATTAATTTGAATTAACCAATTATTATGAGTTGAACAGCTGAAGTAGTCTATTAAGTGTGTAATCTCAGACTACGTTAACTACTACATTGGAATTTAACTTTCTGTTATGTTAATTTAAGTTGGTTCAGCGGCCTACTTTCAGATTGCCCCTTCAAACATCATCACAGGTCACCTGAGGTCATCTGAGGTCACCAAAAAGTTCTTTCCTTCTATTCACCATAGACTGCATTCCGAGTCTTTTTCTCTATATAAATTTTAAAGTTTGTAATTTTTTATCTGGCCAAGTTAAATTTGCAAGTTACCTGTTTTGTTTTAATCTAATATCAAACAATTTATGTAAATGTTCAAAAAGAGTACCTCAGGATGTTGAACATTTGATTTTCTCATGCCCTACATTTGATGGCACTAGATTATGCTTGCATAACGATTTGAAAATGTGCGGAGTTACTTGGCCAGTGAACTTATCTGCTTTCGTGAAGTCCAGACTGTTCTCTTCTTTTGTTCGTTTTATTTATGTAAGTAAATTTTAATGTTTTACTTAACTTACTTCCGTAAGTTAACTAAAACTCCCGTGTTGTACATATGTGGTACATGGAGAGTCTGTATATTTTCAATATATATATATATATATATATATATATTATCAGATGGAAAGGTCATCTCCGTAATATTTCAGGTTGAATTGCCAGCCATAAGAGCAGCGACTGAAATAGTCATCCTTAAGAATCTCAACGAATTTACCTTAAGATCTGATTCCCAAGGAGCTAATTTAGAGATTAAGAATATTTACCTCTCCGTGATTTTCCGATATAAACTCTTTTCTTGCTTTAATTCCAAACTATAAAATTCAAATTTCGTGGAGCAAAGGACATTTTGGTAATGATTAGGTAGATGAAATAGCTAAAGAAACAGCTCTTAATGAAGATAGTATTAAAATCCTTCCTTCCATAGCCTCGTCCAAATTTGAAATATCAACTAAAACAACTTGCTTCAAAATATTGGCAATTGCGAAATAATGCTTCACATGGAAGACGCTCGTGTATTTTGATATCCAATGTAAGCTTTGACTCTCTGTACTCGAATCCTTCATTAAATTACTATATAACAGGAACATTAAATTACTATATTTCTATTCAAGAAATATGGCAAACTCCGACATCTATATAAGTGGGAAACAGGGAATTCGTAATCATTACACTGTCTCATGCCATTTTACTAAAGATAATTACATGAAATTCCCACAAATTGATTATGTATGTTAAGTATGAGTTCCTCATGTTGAATAAATTTAATGAACTTCTAACATCCCGTGAATATATTCAAAAAGATTCTATTTGTGAGTTTTATAAACTATAATAACAAGTTCCAGTATACCATTTTAAATACCTTTCTTTAAAATTGCGTTGGTTTCTTGTTAAAAGTATTTTTTGTATTCCTAATTTTTGCATTCCCAAATCCCAAGCTCTCAGATTCTTACTCACAGTGTTGTTTGGTGTTATTCTTAAACGATTTGATCCGTGAGGACTCTTTAGTACTATTAGTACAGCTCATTATAACATTGTGTTTTCAATATTTATTGTATTTATCTCATTATGTTTATCTGTTACTTATTATAGTTATCTCTCATTTTTGTTACAAAGCAAATGTTCTTAATTTAACATGCGAATTTCAAAATTGAAATTACATTCTAATCTCTTTATGTTCTAAAGCATTATTTTCGATAAATACTGAATGCGGGCTTTCTGAACTCTTGATCCTTTTGAAACCCTCATATGCTCATCTCCTCAACCTTTCTTCGTAGACTCTTATACAACTTGGAAAATTTTATTTTTTTAGCGTTAGTTATTATAGGAAGCTGTTAACAGATATCCATGGCACATCGCTGGTGTCCATACTTTTACCTGTACCTACGTACCTGTGTTAATTTAGATGCCCGCAAATGGCAGAGGTTCATCTGTCGCACAATCTATGCCTTTTTGCTTATTTTAAGACTTAAACAAAAGGTTATTTTAACCATCTTTAGAATTTGTGATTTTTTTCAGACTAAGCGATAACTCTTTTCCATTCTAGCACAGTCTGCAGGGCATTAATACAAGCTTCAGGATACAGTAGAACTCTACATTCTAAATGCATTTAAAAATTTCCATAAGAGAAAGGACAGAAAAATAAAAGAAACAAAACTCTCTCCTTCCCTTCCATATCAAAAGCAGCTCTCTCTGTGAAAGGTTACACTGCACTTAGCAAACTCTTTATCAAAATTATTCCATATTACAGTTCCGTTTTGGTTTAGCTCTAATATTTGAAAACAGAGTCGGTTATAACCATTACATTACATTTACTTGTGTCTAGCATTTACATGACACTTCTCTGAACTTAGCTGCAGAATATGGTAAATATTTGGCTGTTGAGATCTGTGCAGATAGAAAACTCAAGTAATTAGTATACTCATATTCAAAGAATGGTTCGTCATTATAAAGTTAACACTAAGAATGGGATTTGGTTTCGTAATTAACAGCTTGCGACGTTCATAAATGATTCAGCTTGCATCATTGTCCTCAATTCTGTTTCATTCATATAATAACTTATTAAATTATACATTAATATTTTATTATTATTATTATTTGAAATGAGATTTTTATTCTTTACTGTTAAAATCCGAAGTATTCTAATTCTTCGAGAGTAGGATCATATATTCTTTAGTCTTCAAAATGTATGTTTTTGAAAAAACTTTCAGATATCTTTTCTATTCTGTCAAATGATGAATATCTTAGTGACAGAAGAACTCCATAATTGCACATTTTTACTCACACAGTTGAACCTTGTTAACGAATACCCCACTTTAGTTTAAACCCTACAAGAATTTCGATGCTCCATGAAGGAGATCAATGTACAACAAATCCTTGCCGAGCGCAGATTTATTTTGAATATACGCGCTATCTTAACTGTTTCCATTTAACTTGTCCAACTCAAGAATTTCATTTACAAACAATTCAATAATTATTTATCGACACAATGTTTGATGGCATCATCTTCGGCCAAAAGTTATCATTAGTTTTAAAGAATTTCCATCAACTGAAAATTAAGCTAAAGAAATGGTGCAAATTGCAAAAGCAAGATTTTCAAGTATGGAAAAAGCTGAAGTCAAAGAAGTAATTGAGAAGGACAAATGAAGAATTGGATGATAATGGTATTAACCAAAAGTGAACGCTATAATGATGAAGACGATGAGAAAGCGACTTTCACTTATGAAGTATTAAATGAACTGATAAAAAAAAACTGTCTGATTTTGCAGTGGAGATTGATCCAAAATGAAGAAAAAGTACACTACATGACAAGCATTGAAAAACGCTGAGCTCCTTACCAGGAAACTTTTAAAGGGTTACGTCAGTCATTTTCCCAAGTAAAAATCCCCAGACTTTAAAAAAAATAATTGTATCACTTGTAAAAGGAAAAAGTAAAGGAAGAATTTTAATCGCGAAAAATTTCGGGTATCAAAGGAAATAATCTATTTTGACTGTTCCTTGGAAGATTTTTTTCGTAACGTCTGTATTTACGAGCTTAACATGGATTCAGAAGAGATTTTTTGTGACCCCTGTACATACCTACGAATGTACTATATATGTATCTCGCTTAACTCAAAAATGAACTAGAGACCTGAAATTTTGTATATGTGACTGCTATAATTTTTAGTTGTGCATCTCCCTTTATTATTGCAATTGGCAATACCAGACATATATATACCCACTTGGCTCTTATTTTTTTACCCGGAAGTCTTTACTCGGCCTTTAGTTTGACAATCGTTGGTCTTAGTCATATACTACCTTATACTTAGTGATATACACTTATAATATATAAGTCATATACGTATAAATTGTTTTAAATAACGAAACTTTTCGTGTTTCGGCAATGCCAAAATTAATAAAGATGTAAGTTTTGACACATAGAGAAATATAACGTTTAATTCGGTCTCCCGTTCCTATACTCATATTTGGGAAAGCTTTGTATTCGTCATGAAAAAATAAAATTATAAGAAGTTTGACTGCCATACGACAAAAATTGAATAGGAGATTAAATTTCAAAATTTACAACTTTTTATGCCATTCGCAACTTACCTCGAGGAATCGGTTAATTAAGATAGAATAATTCGATGAAATAAGTTTAAATGAAATGCAGCAAAAAATGTGTATAATTTAATAGGCCGTACAAGGAAGTCATGCGGTGTCCATATCAAATTTGTTTCTTTTAATTGAAACAACATTTAGATTTCTTTAAATTATATATATTTTCTTAATCTGTATTATACCTAATTTATATTTTGTATTGAAAGTTAACTTCGTGGAAATCGGTTTTGCCGCAAGCGCAATGTATTAATGTGATTGTGATTATGTGATTATAGCAAAGCTTTGAGGGCTATCTGTCTAAGGGAAGGGATGCCTTCGTGGAGGACTTTCTAATGGAAACTGACTCGTATACACGTCACACATGAGGAAAACAACGAAAACGCCCATGCAGCCAATCCCTTGCCAGAGATTCGGACCGAATTACCAGTGTTCAGCGACTTTACTGCTCGGCTGCTGGTGGGCCTCCTCAATGTATTAATGGCGTAATTCTTGCGTTCTGCAAGGGATTACTGTACTCACATTTAACAGGCACACCCTGACATCGGATTTCTATGTTATATATGTTAGCGTACAAAAATATTAAACAATGTGAGTACAGTAAACCCTTGAATGTCCACTACTTTAAATGCATATAAATGTTTAAAATAGTACATTAAGCGTGAAATTGAGAAGAAAAACGTGCTACTCTTTCATTAATAAAATTAAGTTTTGATAAATGATAATTTTAATTTACATAACAACGTAAATAATATTACATAATAACTTGAGTAATGAAATTAATTAGCTAATAATTTGAATAACATCTTACTTGGCTGCTTCATTTATTTTCATAGAAGTAAGGTAGCTCATCCCACAAACTACGTCAAATTCATACGTGATGAAGAAATTAGCGAAAAACGTGCCACACAAAAAGAGTCCAAGAAGCGAATAACCAATTTTGGGCCACCTAAAATTTTAAAAAGTAAACGTAAGAAAATAAATAATAACTAATAGCTCATAACAAGAAGATATTTTATAGTGGTATACGGCAACAAAGGTAATTAGATCTGCTAAAAAATCTGAAAAAAAAGGAGCAATATTAAAAATGTATCTGCTGTGATTTTAAAGTGAAGAAAGATGTGAGGAGACTTCGCACCAAATAATCGTATCCCCGCAAATATCACTGAAAAACAGCACTTCGTAATGCCATTTTACAAGCTCTGTTACAATGCAGTGAAAACTGAAACGTTAACATGGTGTTATACAATACAGTTAAATAAGAATTTAAAGAGTTTGCTTACTTGAACGCTGCAAAATAAATGAGTATTGGCATAAGAGGAACAAGACCAATACCTTTGATTCAAAAGCTTCTAAAGGTATCTTTTTTAGAGCATTATTGAGCCCCTGAGAAAGTGCCCAGCGGTCCCAGGCTTAAAGATGGCCCTCGTCGAATTGCCGTTACGCATAGTAAAAGACTATGGAAGCACGCATGCACCACTCTTTTCACCAGAATTCGAATTTGGATCGAATCAATAGCCTTCAACTTCGAATCGAATTACATGCGTTCTTAATATATCACATTGCATGCGAGGAACGTACTTTTATATATTTTCTCGTCTGTCACTAGAGCACGGTTCACGTAAAATTACGCATTTAGTAGATTTATGTTGGAGAGTGGGTATTGTATAAATACCATGGGCATTGTAAATTTGCATGGTGTTTGAGTTGAAAAGATTTCTATTATTTCATTCTAAAAGTGTAGTTCGTCAAGTTACTTGGTGAAATCTATCCTCATGCAATGTAATATAATAGTGTTACGTTTTTCTTCACGTACGGGTTCGTAAATATGGAGTGAATAACGACGACACTTGATGAAGTATCAAAACACAATTTTTTAGCCAGTATTATTCAAGACAGTTCCAAAATCACGATTACAGATGTCGAAGAACTACTAAAACACGCTGAAGCAATCAGCAGCACAGCCTTCAGATCAGGCTATAGCTGTGAAGACAGCTTCACGGCAAAGCACCAGAGTACAGCCTCCTACTCTGCTCAGACATTCTACGTACTCTCCACGCTACAACTCGCGATGCACTCGGCGATACAGTAGAGTACAGCTCCCGACTCGGTTCAGTCGTTCCCGGAGCTCAACACACTCTAAGATAAAACTCGACGATGCACTAACTCGCGATATACTAAGAGGCTCTCTCGATGCCCTCGACGACCAGCTCGGCACTAGGCTACGAGACACTCGCTCACTGGCTCTTAAGTGACTCGACTAGGCACTAAACACTGAATATCATCTCGTTGGACTCCGCACTCCACGTGATAGTATGGTTTATATAGCTTTTGGCTTGCATTCGAGACAGATGAATTTTTCCAGTAAGAAATAAAGGGAAAAAATGAATCCGTTTTTTAAAGAAATTCCTATTGTTATTATTCAATACTGTTTAATATTAAAGTGCAGTGGGTAAAATATATCTTGTATATAACACTGTACATAAATTTTTTCTATTATCCAGAACAAAAAATTATTTTTCAACATTCTCTGACGTCTCTGATCTTTGATTGCTAATGAATTTCCACCCCCTTCACAACATCAGCCGATTTCATGAAGCCTTTGTTTTTCATAATCGAAGATATCTCCGTTCTCGGCATGTTTTATGCAGTAGCCAAATCCCAGATACGCATCTCATCTTCATAGAAATACCCGAAAGCATATATAACATTACTATTTACACAGATGGCTCCAAACTCGATGAAAACGTTGGTTGTGCATTCGTTGTGCTCTACAATAATCATCGCCTCCATGAATGGAAAGGACATCTACACCCCAACAATAGCGTTTTTCAAGGCGAAGCTTCCGCAATAAAACATTCACTTCTTCATATCGAGCACAATAGCCTGAAACTCACCATTATAAAAACAGATTATCACTTCATGCCATACTGGACCTCTCCATAAAGGTCTCCTATCATTACATCCTACCGATTATACCTACCGAATTAAGCATTCAGTATTATGACTTAAGTATTAAGTATAGCGCATTATAAAATAAAAGTTTTGTGTCATCCTGTACATACCTCCGCCCAACGTACCGTGCACTATGTTCTGCATAATAATGTCTCAAGTATTGCGTACTGCATCAAGTATAAATTACGTATTGTATCATCATATTGTACTAAATTTATAATTGTACTAATATATTATATCTTAAGTAATGCGTTTTGTAGTAAATACTGTGTAGTATAATGTGTCATCATAATGTACTAAATATATAGTTGCACTAATATATAATATCTTACGTAATAAGCATTGTAGTAAGTAATGCACTAAACATCTATGTACTATGCATTAAGTCCCGCATTATGTACCCAAATAACTATAAGTATTTATCCCTGCAATATGTACCACGTCCTAGAGTAATTCTTAGTCATTCAATCTTCCTTTTATATTATATGTCATTATGTGCTTATGTTTTTATTTTATGTGTTATGTGTGCATAAAATGTACTGTGTTGAGTGTGTGTTATGTGTTTACTTGTTTGCGTTAGTGTATGTATTTGTTTTCTATTTTGTATCTTTATGTGTAATTCACTATGTAATATACTTTGCATGTCACCTCAACCACATATGTAATCCACCAACTTAAATCAAACAATTGCCCCTGTAGGGCCTTGTAAACGTTTCTTAAATCTTATATAAACTCCCCGTACGGCTCCAGGGAGTTGTTGCCTCTGGATAGTGGAGGACTCGGGACATATGCCTATTTACCTCTGTTAAACACCAGGCGTTCCCATCCTCCGTCACCTGTCACCTATCATTAGATCCATACAAACAATCCTCCGAAATAATAAACAGCTATGTATCCGACTCTCATGGATAAATTCCCACTCTGTAAACACTGGCAATGAGTCGGCTGATGCTCTTGCTAAGGACGCTGCCCGAAATATTAATGCCGATATTCTCCAAATACCCTCGCCAATATCATATCTAAAACGACAACTTCAATTAAAAGCTCACAGCATATGGCAAGAAGAATGGGATGATAATAGCACTGGCCGAAGATTCATGCTATCACCTCTCTTATGTCAATAGCAGTCGCCTAATAGTCAATCCACATTTGGTTCGTTACATTTCTGGACATGGCATATTCCCTGTTTACTTCGCAAAGCATGGCATTTCTCATCCTGACCATTGCTGCTGTGGCGAAATAGGTACTCCAGAACACTACACTGCTGCTTGCCCACTAACTGAAAACTCCTACATCCCAATTCCATCTCCCAATACACAAGATTTCTGCAAATTCATGATCCGCCAAAAACACCTTCCAAATTTAGTTTTCAAAATTATGCAAAAGTTATTCGACCTTGATTTAGACCTCTGTCAAACATAATATCTTATAAAAAACTTTATCAAATACAGGAGTAGTGTGTTCTTAAATCAAGTGCTGGATGTTCAAGCATAACACAGCACTACATCACCTTGATTTTAAAATTTTAAAATTTTACAAATATTCGAAGTGGTTTCATGGAATCTACCATAATTTTAACCTTTCGCGAGATACTATTTTACTTTCTGTATCTACCACCAATTACGAACTTTTGTATTTTGTTAAGAACTTTTTATGAGTTTATAATTATAAACTATTAGCATACCACATACTTTGATCTACTGATTAAGAGTTATTATCTTTGAACTATCCGAATTTTATTTTACTGATAAACTCTGAACAGTATAATAAACTACAATTTATTTAAACTTCAGAACTATTTATATTTTAGAAACTTCAATTTTTTGCTATATCTGAACTATCTGAACTTTTTGTTAGAGCTACCTGAACTACGTATATGAACTATTTGAAATATATACATGAACATTTTGAAATAGGAAGTATATTTACACATGAACTATTTGAACTCTATATTTGGAAAATCTCTATATTTGAACTACACATGTTACCGTGAAAGACCAAAATTGGAGAATGTCGACTTTCACCGGAGAATGTCAACATTCAACAAATACGTCGGTGAAAGATCGAATATTGCATTACATTCTTGTACATTCGGACCCTGACCGGTGTATGTCGACACTCACGGATGCCTGTGGTGTAGGTTGAAAAGAGAGGAGTATATGTACACGCTGTCATTGCAAAAGGAAGTGTTCCACAAATAAATGCTGTTGTAAAAGCAAGGGCCCTCTTGTGCAATTGAAAGTGTCATAAGAGTTTAAGTTTTTGCAATAAATAAGATTTGAATCACGTAATTTTGTAAGTTTTAAACTTCTATTATTTTCCTTTCTCATTTTGAATGTACAGTGTGTTTTAAGTTCTTATATTCTTAAGTTCTTAATTTAAGTGCTCAAGTTTTGTTTTTCGAGAAAATATAATATTCTTATGTGTTCAACATTCACCATTAGTAGATGGTGAATGTCGACATTTACCGGTGTAAGTCAGAAATAAGAGTATTTGGAAAATATTTCGGACATACACCAAGCGACTATGTGAATGTTGACATTCACCGGTGAAAGTCGGCATTCTCCAGATTTCGGTGTTTCACCGTAACATATGTATGAATTACATAAACATATTACTTTGCTTACTTTGAACTATAGATTTTGTACTACATCTATAGATTATAAACTATAGACTTTGTGAATTTTGAATATAGACTTTGAATTATGGACTTTGAACTACAGACTTTGAACTATAGATTTCGTACATATATTTCATACTATATTACATATGAACATCATATTATATCGATATGTTTCGTAAACTACTCTTCATTACTACTATTTCTTTTCCTCGTATATTATGATCAAAATTCCGTACATATATTAAGGAGTTATGTCGTTTATTATGTTTAAATGTTTTGTATTATATTCAAAATTCTGTTCATTTATTATTATTTTATTTTATATAAGCTCCAGATTTTCGTATTACATTCGAAACTATGTATTATTACAAATTATGTATTCATTCTAAATTATGTATTCATTCCAAATTATGTATTCATTCCAAATTATGTATCCTAATCTCATCTTCATAAATTTCAACAATCTATCTTTTCACCTCCATGGTTATCCTAACAATTTTCTTTGTTGCTTGGCGCTTCTCATTAATAATGAATTTACAAAATACTTATGTGAAAAATTACTTGAAAAAATTGAGTTACAGCTAGGGTTATTTTACTGAATAGCAGCAACAAGCATCCTGACTCTGATTAAGTAGTCATAGCATTGTCTCAAAAGAGGCAAATATTTTTAATGTGAGCAATGTAGGCAATCGAGTCTTATTCCAAACAAATATTGCATCTAAACAAAAATTATCGCTTCTAAACAGGGTGCGTACAAAGTTCGGTGTTTAAAAATGGACATTTACCCAAGGTACCACTGTATTTATATTAAACTAGCTGTTCTAACAGTGTCCTCTGAATAGATATCGTACTGACATTGAATGGTACTGACATTTTAAATATGTACTGACATTTTAAATATGTACTGACATTGTACTGACATTTTAAACATTGAATGAAAAGTGGCAGCCGTGTAGTATTTCATCACAGGCATAACGAGACTGAATTCTAAAACGCACCTCTGACAAGTAAGTAGGAAGATATGCTGTTAAGATAAGACTTTTACAGTTTCATTCAATGTGCTTGCAAAAAGCCCTTTAGCAGCATTGAAACGCATGATAACAATAGCCACAAGGCGGATTCATAAAATATTTCAGCTATTTAAAAGCAGTTTATAATGCTCTGAAATTCTTTGTGACTATAAAAAAGCCTGGCACAGAGCTGGTGCAATCGGCCCCTAATTGTGCTGGGTGGCCGAATTTGTAGAAACCATTAGGCATTTTATTTCGGAGCATGAGACGTAAAATTATGCAATATCCTTGCCTTCGGACCTTCCGATGCTAACTCGACGTGCTTTCAATTACACCACAAAGGCAAGCGATAAGAATAAAAAAAAATGTCTTACAAATTAAGGGACATTGAATTCTTTAGAATTTAAGAAGGTGCCTGGCGGCCGAATTTGGAAGCTGCAAAGATTGCACATCTAGAGCCGGAATAAATAATGTCTCAAATTCTTTCTTCTTTAAAGTTTGAAAATATATGAAAACATGAATATGGTAGCGTCAGTGAAGATAAAATTAAAATTTCGGAAATAAAATCAAAATATTACAGTTTTCTAGATGGCTCTCCGAAGCACCTATGCACCATAATTTATTAGAATAGCTTTTATCTCCTATACTCATAACAACATATTCAGAAGTGTGCTCAAATTTTATAATTAATTGCGATAGTAATGCCGCAGATAGTAATCACATAAGCTGTTTATTAATCACATAAGCTCATCTGAGCTTGAATTGGGTGAGAAATGTGGGAATAAACTTTTTTTTTAAATAACTATTACAGACATGCATTTTAAACAACAGCGTTTCTTAAAACAAAGCTAAGAATTTTGTGAAAATAATTTGAAATAATGATATAAAAATAAACTTAACTTTGTAGAATTTCATTGAATAAAAATTTCAGTCGTAAACATTTTAAGCTTTAATTAACTAAAATCTAAAAATTCCATTATTCCGTGCATATATATTTAAGAACGAATTTTTGATTTTCATTTTGTCTCTCCTCGACAAGATGTTAGAAAACAAATTTTAAAAGGAAATTCAAAGCAAAATTGCTATTTCGGCGTTACAAACTGTACTTGAAATTAGTCTTTTGAAAGTATTTATTTAGACACACGTTTGCGAATTTTTTACGTGGAAATAGGAACGCTTCAAGCGACATTTCTCGCATGTGATAAATTGCAAAGCTCAGTTTTATTGTTTTAAAAGTGAACATTTGGTAGTTTCTTTCCCAACAGTTTTATGCGCCGAAGAAATTTAACGTAACGCTGAATCAGGAAAATCTTTTTCATAATACTAGTGCTTGCTTTTTATAAAGCACTACAAAATCTAAAAGTAGAAATAAATAATATTAACAGAGTATTTGTTCTCTTAAGTATAGATAAAACTCAACATACCTCCACAAGGAAATCAAAAATAAAGGACTGATAACGAAGAACTGCATGTCATTTGCCAAATACCAGCTCCATCCCATACACTATTTATGGAAAAAAGTTATAAATTAGATATTTACCCTTTAAAATAATTAAATTGTTTCATTAAAAATAAACAAAAAATTATGAAAAAGTATTGTGCTGAATGAACTACATTTGATAACAATGAACTTTATTAAAATACTGTATATATTTGCTATACCGTTTAATACAAAATAATAATTATTTCACTAATTCTCAGTTTTTACACAGATAATTGATTTCTCCCATTTAAAGTGTACTTAAACTAAACTTTTTCATTTCACTAAATTCTAATACAATAATAATTATTGGGAACTTCTAAATTAATTGTCATATGTTTCCTTTTCTCCCAAATTCGAAACCATATGACTCTTACATAACGCTGGATGCAAATGGAACTAAAGTCCCAAAACAACCAATAGCAGATTAGCTTTACATATACACGTGCTCAGTTATAAGTACCTCTATTCCTAGACGTTACTCCATTCAAGTCACTCAATTCCACTGAAGTCAATTACATCGCATTAGCTTTTCTTGCTCTCTTCGAATAGTCTGTGCCGCTGTGTTCGCATTTTCTTCCTTTGTTCATCGTATAATGTGACGCAGATAAATTTTATAATGAGTGTAACGTCCAGAATAGGTGTATATTCTAAATTACTGCAACAAACTAAGTCATAAGAAAGTATGTCCGCCAAGAAAAAAAAAAAAAAAGAGAGAGACTGGAAAAAAAAAAAAAAAAATGCTTTTTTGAATCTCGAATTTCAGCGTTAGTGTCTTCATCACCCTCGCCGCCTATATTTGTATGTATGTATATATGTAATGTGAGTGTTAAGATAAAAAATGTAAATCAGCTTAATAATTTAATTTCGTAATAGCCTCTTAATTCCTCATAACTCTGATGACGTAGGTAATTCGGAACTTGAACTCAAAATTTTGTGAACCTGAAACTTTCTAACCTAAACCCAAACCTTCTCTTGGTGAGCCGCATATTGGTTTAATTGTGCACTTTAGTTTCTACCTTTGTTGCCGCTTGGAAGCTATTTCGCTGCGCTGCCCTGTCTTCGTATCGCAACAGAGAGTATCAAAAATATAAATGTTCTTCAATAGGCAAGATTAGAGTGCCAGGAATATTGTGGCCACAAATGTCAATAAAATAAGGTTGAATATTTAATCGTATTTGGCTGACCTACGTTCTACGGCATCAACATTTCTACGTATTTTTCTTTTTTTCATCAAAAGTGCTTCCCCATCAGTATTTCTGTATTTTTATTTATCAGTATTCCTACAGCACTACTTCTAAATTTGTTTTTATTACATTTGAGCATGCCATCAACATTGCTACGTTTTGTTTTTCATTTTTTATCATATATTATATATATATGTAATGTAGATTCTTATACCGTATTGGTGTTGTGCAGTCGGAGGGCACAGGAATGAGACAAAATTTGGAATATAAAGTGATACATTTATTTTAGCATTCATCTCTCAAGCGTTCCTCCTGTACATTGAGGAGAACCCCTATTTATAGCTATGTGAGTATGGTACGCTTCCAGTCAGCGGTGTTAATTGTGATCACGAGGTGAAGCTATCTTCTCATCAGAGTATTCTATAAGTGACTTTATGTAATATGACAGATTTATGAGTGTTGCGATTTGGATTGTTTGGCGAACAGCAAATTTCGGCTAAGTTTTGATGTAGGAACCTGAGAAGTAGACAGGCAACAATATTGTTTAACGTAATCAGTACTTTAGAATAAACTTGGAAGTCTAAATTCCATTTTTATTTCCAACTGACATTTGTGGCCACAATCACTTGGCACTCTAGTCATGCCTATTCATAGAGCATTTACATTTTTGATATTTTTGCGGTAAGAAGCGAGCACAAAGAAATTAGATCCTAGGAGCATAGAGAGAGAAGCTAAAGTGCGTAGTTATTTAATATGGAAGCTCACGAAGAGGAAGGTTTTAATTTGGGTTAGAAAAGTTTTAGTTCTCAGATTTGAAGTTCCCAATTACTACGACATCAAGCCTTACGTAAGCTTCGTGGCATAGATTAATCTAGAAATGAAGCAGTCAGAAATGTTGTTATTTTTAGAATGAAGGTGGGAGTTAAAGGGCTATTATTAATTTACTATTTGAAAGATAAATCTTTTATATTTTACATATATATATATATTATTATAAGAAAGGTTGTAAGAACAAAACTAAAAAGACCAATTTAGGTCAAAATTTTTTTGCGCATTGTGCTGCAAAATTAAGTAAATTAGAAGATAAATTTTAGTAAGCTCGCCAAAATAGTATATATATATATATATATACATACGTTTGGTGCAGCCGACTGCAACAAAAAAGGAAGGTGCACAGCTACATGTTATAGCAATCCCATATACAAAATTTCACGGTTCTACGGCTACTCATTTTGGAGTTATACGACGTACGTACGTACAGATGTCACTAAAAAAAATTTCTTTTGAATCCATTTTACAGTCTGTTTTGGAAAGAAGAGTCTTTTATCCTGTCTGTATGTAGAGATAGACGTCACGTTAAAAATCTTTTAAATGGATAAAAGAGCGGTCAAATTTTCATTGAAACATGATACCAGAAATTTTTCACGGTTAAGAAAACTAGCGGTTTTAAAATACTAAAGTTACACTGAAACCCTTCTTTACTTCTGAGCAAGCAACAGAAATATCAACAAAAAAGCGTTCTGTGTGTATTTCGTCGCCAGTGTAAGCCATGTTTTATTATGTTGTATTACTTAATTTATTATGAGCGATTTAAACCATTTTATTTTATGGTTTCTAATTAACTTAAAAGGCCCACCAGCGGCCGAGCGGTAAAGTCGCTGAACACTGGTAGTTCGGTCCGAGGTTCGAATCCCGCGAACGGGCTGGCTGCATGGGCGTTTTCGTGGTTTTCCCCATGTGTAACGTGTATACGAGCCAGTTTCCCTTAGAAAGTCCTCCACGAAAGGCATCCCTCCCCTTAGGGCAGATAGCCCTAGTGTGCTTTGCCATAATTAAATACACACACTCTTTAACTTAAATGCTTTTAAGAGTTGCTTTCAATTGTATTATATACATAAAAGCAGAAAATGTTTCGTTGTTCTATACCTCAGTTCTATAATTTTTTGCGGATTTAATGACTATCCGCGAAATACAGTTTGGGAAACATTGGGCTAGATAATATGGCAATTATCCATAGGATTATATTTTTAATACTGGTTTTGCATTTGAACATGATCACAATTCTTTAAAAAAGAACGAAAAGCAATATTAAAGAAATCACAGTTAAAGTTTATTTTTCCTACATGAGATTAGAACAGCATTTCATAAGAATCTAGATTAGTTAGTTTCAAACGTTTTGTTAAAACTCTAAAATAAAGAAATTGCACTTTATCAAATATTTTATCCTAACTGCTCTAATGATAATATTTGAATAATACCCTTTTCGAAATATTTCAAACTATTACTACGTACACGTCTATAAAATGAATGCCCTTTTAGTTTCAATAGAAAAGCTGATTTTATTTCAGTTTCTGTTCTCTGTTTTCGTATTTAAAACTGTGTCCGTACCCTAAATTTCAGAGAGTTTAACTGATTTTCGAAATGGTTTTCATAATTTGGATCCTTCATTGAGAAAGAGAACAGAACCCCAAGTTTTTTTTTTTTTTTTTTTTTTTTCCAAATTCCCAATGAAATAATATAACTGCATAAATGTTTCGAAGTTATTCTTTTTTAATATATACCATATTTTGTCGCATATTCCCACCCCTTTTTTTTTTACTAATATTATCCCCTCTTTTACTACTTTATTCGGAAAATTGTGTTAAAAAATGTAATTTCCGAGGATGTGGGTACAGCAAGAACATAACAAATGAAAAATAGTCATGGCTTAACTACAGGTACCTATCCCAATATTATTTCCTTAAAAGAAACCTACATAGTAATATTAGTATTACAGTATGTAATAAAATATCTTTGATTCTGCTTCCCTATATCCTGAATCTTCCTCGCCCTTACTGTCTCGGATACGCTTTGGGACTCAAATCTTCTAGAAAGAATTAGGCAATGTGAATGTGTAGATGATCCGACGAAATCGTATGTAGAATATCAATCGTGTTTACTTCGCTGTGATGGGTCGGTTATTGTGTTGCGTTGGCATGTATTCTGTGAAGATATTTCATCTATGGCAAGTAGTTTTCTTGTAGCTCGCTTTGTGGAACGCTTACATTAAACAGACTGTATTCATTTATTTCTTTAAAAACTGAATTTTGAATTTATTTATTAATTCATGGTTATGTTTCTTTAGTAAATAAATTAGATAAATTTTTGACAGATTTAATTTGTTTGTATATTAAAAAAATGTTCTTATTAATACAAGTACAAAAATGTAGTTTTCAAACACCTTTATAATTTCCTGAATAAAAAGAAGGTAGTTAAGCAGTCATTACAAATTTCATGTTGTATTAAATTTTTTTCAGCACAATGTTTCAAAGATGACTGCACTTTTCTCAGAATAAAAAAACATATTTAAATTTTTCTTCAAATGAATTTAACTTTTCAACTAAAAGAGATACTTTCTTCACTGTTTATTCTGAAGCTTTGCTAAAAATTCATAAATATTTAGGTTTTTTTTAATAAATTTTTGTCTGGATTTCTAAATGCGCTGTGAGTTCAAATACATAAAAGTTGCACAGCTTCACAAAGATTAGAAAGCTGAAGAATATACTGTTATTTTTTTTTAACATTAAACCAACTTAAGCATACTGTAACAATGATATTAGTTCAAAATATGAAGAAAAGAGCGGAATTCTTAATTACAAAGCACGATGTATATAAAACTCAGAAATACCTCAAGTGCATTAATAAAATTCTTTTTGAATATAATAATAACATATTACATTACAAAGCGATTGTTAAATCTCGCTCATAAAAGAAGTATTCACAGAAAATTATAAAACATGTGCAGTTTGCTTCTTGACAATATTAGCTCTTGAAACTGCATAGAACGCAAAATAACCTTACTAATAAATTTAGTATAGACTATGAGATCCTTACCATATCCTGTTGATCCTGAAAATTGTTTATATACAGTAAGTTCATCCACCAGTATTTTTTGCAATTCGTATCTATAGTAGAATTAGGCCAGAAGGGACCCGATCCCAAGTAAAAATAAACAGTGGCTGAAAACGCAAGAATTAGCATGTATACAGGTGTAAGCCTATGAAAAAATGAGAAAAAGAAAAAAATAGTAAAAACTGAAAATCAGGATCAAAGAATGAACACTTGAAAAATAGTTATTCAATAAATCGATTAATATGTTAACAGAAACATACAATTTTAAGTAATAGCTAATAAAAATAAGTAATATACATTTTTAAAACTATTAAAGGCAGTGGCCTCAGGCTCAAATTGTATGCGGGCCGAGTGCACGATTTGTAAACAACTGATGAGCCAGATTTAAAAAAAAATTATTAGCGAAATTAAAATATTATATATAGATATTTAATTTCACTTACTAAATATTTATCAAAATATACAATGATTATAATATTTCAAAGAGAAAAAATACAAATTTATATTTATTTTTTTATTTTAAATCTAAAGTTTTGTACCGGCAATACATTTTTTGTGACACATTTTAATACAAATATATTGACAACCAAATATTAAATTTTCAGGTTGACATTTATTTCATATAATTCTAACACCAAGACAGAAGAGAAAAACGCCAAAGTAAAATATAAAATTATTCAAAGCAAGAATTTTGTGTTTGCCGTAGATTTTAGTCAAGGCTCTATTTAATAGCGTTAAAGCAAACAGATCATCAAAGAACGTGAATCTTTATACGAAAAGATGGAATTAGCAAGTCTTCGAGAGCTAATCATAGTTGGAAATTTAATCACAACTTTGAATTTGTTCTTAGTGCAAAAGTTCGTAACTGATATTATTTAATTTTTGAAAAATACAAATAAAATTTAATGAAATCTATATCTTCATATCTTTGAATATGATTTTCATCTTATTAGTTCAATTTATAGCTTTCCATGTGCGATATTTATAGATTCTCATTTACGTTCGCTTTTAATGGTAATCAAAATAATGTAAACTCTGACTTTAAATAACTAAATTCTTAAAATATTTGTAACATCATACTTGCAACTTGCATAATTGAAATGTACTGACGAACCCCGTAAAACTGCATGCGGTCCGCCAATTTGCTTGTTTCGAAGTCTAAAAGTCTCTCTACTGATTTATGTCAATCAGCTATATACAGTAAAACTTCGATCAGCTGAACTAAAAGTGGACGGAAAATATTTTGAGTATTCAAAGTTTCGATTTACCAGAAAATAGTGGACAAAGAATTCTTTAGTTTAAGTGTGGTTATAGTTAGCACAAAAACACATAGTTACATGAATCTGGTGTGCAGAAAAGGAGCATCATCTTAAAAATTTGGGGTATAAAGTCTTCATCTCCTATCCCCACCAATCATAGGAGCAAAAATAGAAATTACTTTATTAGTGGGATGAATTTAAAATACTGAAACTTCTTTATTTCTAAGCAAATTGACATGATTACCATTTTGTCTTCGGTTAGTAATAACCCCGCGATGAATAATATTCAATTTCGTTTTTCGCTATTAATGCAAGCATATGCATCTGCATATACAAATATCATGTGACAATCGTTAACCCATAAATCATGCTCCTCAGAAAAATTAATTATAGCTAATATTTAGAACAATAAACAGAAGCTAAATTAAATGAAAGAGTTAGGAGCAATTACAAATTTAAATTTTTCTTTAATTTGTAAATTATTTTTACATATACACATAGTTTATAAATAAAAATAATTAATTAAAAAAACTTGGAACATATTGTTAATACTACCAATACTAGCCACAAAAATATGGCATATGGATTTGAACGGGTAAAAACTTCTGTATTCTGAAGTTGATTTCAGACGTGATTCTTGAAAATTAAACATATATGCTTATTGTTTCCCTCCCTAAATGGAAGCTCAGCACTAGAAGGTTCCATTAAAATTCCTACTCATATATTATGGTATCCCTTCAGTGGTAGGTACCCTTCGAGTGCTTTGCTGTACCTATAAGTGAAAAAAAAAAGGAATTTTCACATTTAATGATGTATTTAAAAAGTGAATAAATGCATCAAATCTTACAAAATTCTGTCGTTCTTTAAAAATTAGAAGGAACATAAGGTTGTTTCTTTGAAGATACCTGGTATCTTTTTTATTGCAACCACCTTTATGATACCTGAAGAAATATTGCCGACAGGGCACGGATTTGACATGTTTGCCTTTGGATTTAGGATTTAGAGTTTAGGGTTAGCTTTAGGGATTTTTTTACCGTAATCAAATCAGCCAATCCAGTGTTTTTCCGTAAGAAATGACTTAAGCAAATTCCAACTCATGAATTAAGTTAACAAAAATATATTGCTTTTTTACTACAGAAGTAGAAAACATATCAGCCATTGTACTGACATAACAGCAAGCCATACATATATATCAGTATCCATAATATATATGTGTGTAATAAAAACAAATTTAAAATTACTGATCTAGGAGCAGTGAGACGTAGAAACGCAGAAATACTGATGGCGCAGTAGATAGATCCAATACTGAAGAGGAAGAATTCTGATTGAGGAGAATTCTAAAATGTCGAATCCGTAATGACTAGGAAACTTGTAAGTCGAGTAAGATTAAATCTTCATTTTTATTTCAGTTGACATTTGCGGCCACAATTCATATGGCACCTATTCCCAGAATATTTACATTTTGGATACTATTGCAATAGAAAGAGATCACAGCGAAATAGCGTCTCGACAGGAACACAGGCAGAAGCAAAATGAGCAATTATCTAATATCGAAGCTCAGCAAGAACAGGTTTTGGCTTAGGTTAGAAAGTTTCAGTTCTCAAAATTTTAAGTTCAAGTTCCGAATTAGCTACGTCATCAGAGTAGCGCAAGCTTACGTTCCCGATCTGACTTCACCATCAAAATGAATTAATAACTGAATGAATTTTGTTATTTCATCTATTTAGGCCACAGATTAATGATAAATTTTAAGGGTGGTGAATCATGTAATCAATTAAGTGTTTTACCTTAAATAGCGATGGATGTAAAAATACGCCCAAGATATCTTGCCTCCCTTCTTGCTATATTCTTGAAAGAAAAGGTAAGTTAAAAGGAACCCACTGAAAAAAAAAAGGATACATTTTATTCACGTATATAATACATATCATTAGTTTGTAAACATGCATTAAAATGTTCAGAGTGAAATACAAAAAAAAAAAAAAATATTGTTCACTGTATGAAATTCTGTCTAAGTATGAAACTCTATACAGTTGATAATTCTCTTTCTCTCTTATTAGAGTATTTAAAAACATAAAACTTCATTAATAATTTCCATTGAAATTAATAATTTTCAGAAATCGAAATGCACAAAAGAATGTCACAAGATAGCACCCAAATAAAAAATTTAAAAGAAAGATATTTTTAAAAAACAAGCTTTTATTTGAAAATTATAAAATAATTAATGAACTAAAAGACAAAAAATAACGTATCATTTAGCAACAGATTAAATAATTCTTTTTACAGAACTCATCTACAATTTTATATCACAAATAATAAAGCATGATGTACAATTGAAAAATTTATTAAGATAATGATTTATACTTTTGACAGTAAAATTAAATTAATAGATTTCGTTATTTAGGCGTCCACTCTTTTATTATTCGTGACATAAAACTGTAGATGAATTTTGCAAAGAGAAGTATTTGATCTATTGCTCCTTCCATTAAACTACATGATGAATTATTTTTCTTCTTGTAGTCCATTAATTATTTTATGTTTCAAATAAAAGCTTATTTGTTAGTTATTTTTTTAATAATTTTATCTTTTATTCTCAATGACACATTATCAATAAAATTATTTAACTGAAAAATCATTTTTCAAACAATGACTGATCACTCTTTTAGTTCCAATACTTCTGTTATGTGAAACGGTTTTACGTCAATTTCGTCATAAAATCAGAAATTACGTTAAAAATCTCATATGAATTTCATTAAAAATGTTTTTTCACTCTATGCGATGGTACAAACAGTAAAATTATGATAATTTTAATTTGTTCATTAAACGACGTTTCATATTAAATATTAAAGAATGTAAATGAAATTTTGAAAATTTTGCTTATATTGTCAACAAGAATGAGCTTCTGTGCGAAATTTGAATTCCATAGCTTGTCAGGAAATAGTTCAATTAATATTCTTCCATAAATCTTCTTTTAAAAGAACAGGAAAATGTGTTTTACAACGTTTGTTGAAAATTGTTTAAAAATGGATGACTAAATTCCGACCATAGTGAAACATCGTGAGTGAACTATATGATAGCTCAGAATAATTGTGGTTATTACTTGACTGATTCCCTTTGCAATTATGGGTAAGCAAAAAATGCTATGTTCTGTCTGCATTCTCAGGTGAAAAAATGCCGTTACCCAATCTGAAATAACTCTTTATTTAATGCAAGTATTATATTGGGTTTTCCAAATAATGTATCGGCCCACCAGCGGCCGAGCGGTAAAGACGCTGAACACTGGTAGTTCGGTCCGAGGTTCGAATCCCGCGAACGGGCTGGCTGCATGGGCGTTTTCGTGGTTTTCCCCATGTGTAACGTGTATACGAGCCAGTTTCCCTTAGAAAGTCCTCCACGAAGGCACCCCTCCCTTTAGGCAGATAGCCCTCGTGTGCTTTGCCATAATTAAATAATCCAATCCAAAAAATGTATCTTCAATAATACAGATTTTCATGAGATAGTTTTATGCAATAGAACATTATTTAACATATGCATTTTTTTTCGATTCTTTTTAAATGAAATTTTAATAATACTAATTTTTCAAGATTTCAGGTAAACTTCGGTAAATATTATCACTGATTTCTTGAAAGACAATAAAATTTATTTAAAAATTTTAAGTCGTGGAATAAAACTTATACACATCTTCAGCATTTCAGATTGATTTGGCATATAATTTTGTACTATCATAATTTTCTAGCTTTGTCTATACGCAATAATTAAGATCTTTATAGCATTCCTATTATCAATACGTTTTAGTTTCTTATATGATTCTTAAAAAGTAAAAGTGTAAACAATATTTATTTGAAATATTCAAATGGGACCCAAAAGATAATTCTGAATAGCTTGCTACTTAATAACTGAAGATAATTTAATAACCAAAGATAACTTAATAGCTACTTAATAGTTAAATAAAAAATGCTATTATTACAATAAAAGTTAAATAAAAATATTCCTTTTATGAAACGACATTGGACAATTAGTTCGATTTTACATGGTATCAGAATTTCTTTTTATTTCAGTCCTAAAATTAAAATTAATAATTGTTATAAATAACATTTTGCAGCAATTAATCTGGTGTAGAAAAGTTTCAAAAAATGTAATGAAGCAACTTGGTTGAAAAAAGTTTAATATAAAATATTGTTATAAGAATTGTAAGGATTATGTTAATTTTATTAACACTTAAGTTTTAAGTTAAAGTTCCTTTCCTGTCAAATTCTTAACTTCAACTTACTACTTCCGGCCAGAACGTAGTTTTAGAATTTGCTGAATATTTAATGAGGAGGAGCGGTATTTAAACCACGAAGTTACTTACTGAGGCAGAGAGAATCAGAGTTTCTGATTTACGCGCGTCTGCCTTTTTGGCCTCTCTCTCTCTCAAAGCTGTTATTACGCTCGGACTCAGGCCCTCGCTAAGCTTCGTAGTAAAATAAGTTAAGGCGCCAACTCAAATTGAACCTTGATAGCTTCGGCTATACTTGTTTAGTTAATCTTGGTTTTAGTTTAATTCTTAGTCTTTTAAGTTCAAGTCCAAGTGCCGGCTTTGCTTGTACACTCCCAGGCGGAGTTTTGTTAAATCTTATTGGAATAATAAAGGGTTAGTTACACTTCTATCTTGTTGTTTCTTGTCACCGAACGCAAGCGATTATTCGCTTATCAGTTCCTAGATTCCTCACTTCCAACATTAACTTAGAATTCCAAAGTGAGGTACTCTACAGAATAACAATAGGGAAAAAATTAAATTTAGAAATATGAAAAGATTATTTCTTACCTTATTACGAAAAAGGAATCAACTGAATAAAATCCTTGAAGTACAATTTGAAAAGGCCAGTTATCAATTACATTCAGAAGACCCAAAGGACTTCCTTTAAATAGAAATTAAAAATACACAAAAGTTAAACGTAAATGAAATCAATAGCTGAGAACAAGGGAAAATGAATAAAATTTAATATGCAAAAATGATTTTACTTATAATGCGTTATTTCTTTGGAAATTAAAACAAAATAAGAAAATATAAGGTATCAGGGTATCTCATATATATATATATATATATATATATATGTCATAATAAAAGCACAAAGGAAATGACGGAACACTGTAGATGCGTGCTTAGATCCATATGAAGAAGAATTTTGATTGCGTAGTATTTAAAGAACTTGGCAGTCGAGGCAGTTTTAATTCCATTTTATTTCAATTGATATTTGTGGCCACAATCACTTGGCACTCTAGTCGTGCCTTTTCACATAAGATTTACATTTTTGATATTGTTGAGATAGAAAGCAAGCCAGCGAAATTACATCTTAGCACAGTAGAGAGCAAAAGCTGAAGTACGTAGTTATGAAAGATGGAGGCACGCGAAGAGAAAAGTTTTGGTTTACAACGACATTTTCAGTTCTTAATTATTACGTCATCGGGGTTGCGCGGGCCATAGAATGATCTAGAAATGACGCGATGCAGAGAAGTTATTACGATTTTAGAATAGAGAGGAAGAATTAATGTTTATAGTTATATTATAATTCTGAATCATATATTTTTATCTTACATATTCCCCCCTTCAAAAAGAAAAAGGCGTAGCACAGAGAAGCCTTTTTAAAGAAAAGAGTTAAAGCACAAGCAAATTAAAAAAAAATATAAATAAAATAATAAAATTTTGATCCTGTAAAGTATTATTTAATAAATTTTTTTAAAAAAATTAGATGCTTAATTTTTTAGAGTCCTATTGAATTTTTCAACATTTCAGTCCAAAAGTCTTTTTGTTTGAGAGTTCACATAATCATAATTCTTCAGGGAAGGTTCTTGTTATTACAGAATATCACAAAATAAACTTTTACACAATCATAGCTTATAATAAAAAGTAATGCACATAAATATTTATGTTACTTATTTCCATACTGATAAATTATAATTTAACATCATAAATAATAGGATTAAGATTTTCAGAATTTATGGTTTCACCGTTATCATCTTTCATTTACAATTCCTGATTTTACCAAACTGGAAGTCTCGCAATACTTCTAAACAAACATATCCATCAATAGGGCTGTCCTCTTGAGCTAACCAGTGTGTTCTCTGCACTGGTGGCCCAGGGTGCCTAGGCAGTTACTTGAAAAGGCCTCCGTTCCTTTCATTAAGGTAACTGGCCTTTGAGAACTGCACTAATACATTCCATAATAAAAAAATATACTACTACTACTAATAATAATAATATAAAAAATTTACATGCATTCATAAAATGAGAGCCTCCAACATTATCTTGCATGAAGAGGGTAAAAGGAACAACTGTACAGAGGAAATAACAGGCCTCTGTTGAAGGAACCAGTACACCCTCATCATACTATACTTAACACACAATAACCCATAAATTTTAACATGCATTTACCATAACTTCATATTACATATTTGTAATAATTTCACTTATTTTTACACCTTTATTTTTAGAATAATTATAAAATTGGTATTCAAAAATTCTCAACAAAAATTTCAAAAACATAAAAAACTTATCTTAATATCCTTCCCTATGAATAATTTAAATAGCTTAAAAAGCGTTACTTAATTTTCTCACACATAATTATGAAAAATTAGAAAAATTAATGAACAAGAATTTCAGATTTTCTCAAAACAAACTTGCAGAAATTTTAATTAAAGTTGAAATGAAAACCTATAGAATTCCGCAGCATATTAAATGATTTAGTTTCTGAGTTAGATTCACACGAATGTAATAAATTTTTGAGCTGTTGAAAAAGTGGAAATGCAAATAATTTTCTGTCGCACATACTTGCAAACACTAACTCAGATCGACCTTGAACCCGCTGTAATGCTTAATTCCTAAAACGGTAATGCACTGATGATTTCCTTTTCACTAGGCGTTCGAACTTCTCAATTTATCGAGAGATTAGTTTCAATCTGTAAACACTACGCGTGATTATTTTTTGAAGCACTTGCAAAACACCACAGCAGAAGAATGATCTGTTATTTTCTAAACACTGAAAAAACTAATTTGATGATTCACTTCTTTCACATTATCTTGGATTTATCACAAAACGATGATTTGAAGAGCTGAATTAAATTTTCCATTGAGGTTTCAGGCTGCAGGAAACTATCCTTACCGGCTTAATTGTCATATTAAAAGCACAAGGAACAGACGGAGCTAAGCCGGTAGGATAGTTTCCTGCAGCCTGAAACCTCAATGGAAAATTAATTCAGCTCTTCAAATCATCGTTTTGTGATAAATCCAAGATAATGTGAAAGAAGTAAATCATCAAATTAGTTTTTTCAATGTTTAAAAAAAATAACAGATCATTCTTCTGCTGTGGTGTTTTGCAAGTGCTTCAAAAAATAATCACGCGTAGTGGTTACAGATTGAAAGTAATCTCTCAATAAATTGAGAAGTTCGAATGCCTAGTGAAAAAGAAATCATCAGTGAATTACCGTTTAGGAATTAAGCATTACAGCGGGTTCAAGGTCGATCTGAGTTAGTGTTTGCAAGTATGTGCGACAGAAAATTATTTGCACTTCCGCTTTTGCAACAGCTCAAAAATTATTACATTCGTGTGAATCTAGCTCAGGAACTAAATTATTTAAAGTGCTTCGGATTCTATAGTTTTCATTTCAACTTTGGTTAAAATTTCTTAAAATTTCTGCAATTTGTTTTGAGAAAATCTGAAATTCTTGTTCATTAATTTTTCATAATTATGTGTGAGCAAATTAAGTAACAAATTTTAAGCTATTTAAATTATTCATAGGGAAGGATATTAAGATAAGTTTTTATGTTTTTGAAATTTTGTTGAGAATTTTGAATACGAATTTTATAATTATTCTAAAAATGAAGTAGGTGTAAAAAATAAGTGAAATTATTACAGATACGTAATATGAAATTATGGTAAAGCATGTTAAAATTTATGGCTTATTGTGTGTTAAGTATAGTATGATGAGGGTGTACTGGTTCCTTCAACAGAGGCCTGTAGTTACCTCTGTACAGTTGTTCCTTTTACGCTCTTCATGCAAGATAATGTTGGAGGCTCTCGTTTTATGAATGCATGTAAATTTTTTTATTATTATATTTTTTTATTATGGAATGTATTAGTGCAGTTCTCATAGGCCAGTTACCTTAATGAAAGGAACGGAGGCCATTTCAAGTAACTGTCTAGGCACCCTGGGCCACCAGTGCAGAGAACACACTGGTTAGCTCAAGAGGACAGCCCTATTGATGGATGTTGTTTAGAATATTGCGAGGCTTCCAGTTTGGTAAATTCAGAATTGTTAAATGAAAGATGATAACGGTGAAACATAAATTCTGAAAATCTTAATCCTATTATTTTATGATGTTAAATTATAATTTATCAGTATGGAAATAAGTATCATAATATTTATGTGCATTACATTTAATTATAATAATGATTGTGTAAAAATTTATTTTGTGATATTCTGTAATAACAAGAACCTTCCCTGAAGAATTATGATTATGTGAATTCTCAAACAAAAAAAGACTTTTGGACTGAAATGCTGATGAAAAATTCAATAGGACCTAAAATTAAAAATTATTAAAAAAATTGATATTTATAAATTATACTTTACAAAACAAAAATTTTATGATTTATTTTTTTTTTTTTTTTTTTTTTTTTTTTTTACATTTGCTAGTGCTTTAAACTCTTTCTCTTTCAAAAGGCTTCTCTGTCGCTACACCTTTTTCTTTTGAAGGGGGGAATATGTAAGATAAAATTATATGAATCAGAATAACTAAAACATTAATTCTTCCTCTTATTCTAAAATCGTAATAACTTCTCTGCATTGCGTCATTTTTAGATCACTCTATGGCCCGTGCAACTCTGATGACGTAATAATTAGAAATGAAACTGACCTTGTAAACCAAAATTTTTCTCTTCACGTACTTCCATCTTTCATAACTACGCACTTAAGCTTTGCCCTCTACTCTGCTAAGATGTAATTTCGCTGGCTTGCTTTCTATCTCAACAATATCAAAAATGTAAATTTTGTGGAAAGCACGACTAGAGTGCCAAGTGATTGTGGCCACAAATATCAATTGGAAATAAAAATGGAATTAAAACTGCCTCGACTGCCAAGTTCTTTAGATGTTACCAAGTTAGCATTACTAGCATACTACGCAATCAAAATCTTCTTCAATATGGGTCTAATCACGCATCTACAGTGTTCCGTCTTTTTCCTTGTGCTTTTATTATTAATATGTTGTATGATCTTAAATCCATTTAGTGCGAATACAAGTTATTATTACTTGCGCAATTGCTGCAAAGTTAGTTAATAATAATTTATTTCCTAAACAGTATTGATTAATTGATTATATTATCTCCTAAGTTTAATTAAAGTAGAATTATTTTAAAAGTGTGAATCCATACTGGTAAGTTATATTTTGAAAGATGTTTTGAAGTAATTTGAAAGCAAAATGTTAATAATGTTTTAACGGGGACTGGAGTTAAATCATCATGAAGAATAAAATTTCAATTGTAAATGGAAAAATTAAACTAATGTAATCATTGTCATTGATCGGAAATTAGTTGACTTTTCAAGGGGAACAAACCAACTCCCGTTCAATGAACAATAATTGACAAAAATACGTAAATACGAAAGTGTTTCGTCTTTACTCGAGTTATAAGTTAAAGCTAAACCGGCAATTCTAGTCAGGCCAAATCTTTCCTCGAATAGAAGGAATTATGAACCAATGCTGATACTCAAAGAACTTATTCTTATGAAGCATTTTAGTCAATTCAATTTGGAGTAAAAATCAATTACTGTAGAGAAATCCTATTTAACTCGAGTAATCGTCCCCGACACTTTCATGTTTATGCATTTGAGTACTATATTATTTGTAGAAATTAAACATTGGAAATTG